CCCCCCCCCCTCGCGGCGTGGGGCAGGGTTCTCTGTCTGCCGCAGCCGGTCTCCTGTGGGTCGAGTGGCCGCTGTCATTCTGGCCCTGAGGGGTGACCCCGCACAGGCCTCAGCCAGTTCTGCACCCAGGGTACACTCGGGCCTGCCTGTCTCCCATTGGGGACTGCACCGGCAGAACAGTGGCCGTCCCCCTGCAGGCCCCGGACGAGGGAGCTGTTCCCAGGAGCCTGCAGTGTTAGGTAGTGGGGGGACTGTACCGCCAGGCAGCCTCGGCCACTCAGAAGCTCCAAGGCCACCTGCAGAGGGTGCGGGGTGGGCAGGAGGAAGTGGGGCCGGCAACAGAGCACACAGGACCCTTTGTGCCACGCACCGCCTCCTCCCGGCCCTGCAGGCGCAGCTGCGCCCGGCCCACAGCCCAGACCCAGCGCAGCCCAGACCCAGCGCAGCCCAGACCCAGCGCGGCCACTCACCCGAGGGCTTGCACATGCGGATCTGGCTCTGGCCCTGCAGCAGGGAGGCCGGGGGCGTGGTGGCCAGCTTCTCGCAGGAGGTAGCTGTGGGGGCGAGGCTGGGGGCCGGCGAGGCCGGAGTACACTGGGCGTGGCAGCGGAGCTGGGCCAGGGAGGGTGGCATGCCCTGGTAGTGCCGCGTGGCGCTCAGGAGGTCGTTGAGGATCTGCAGGATGGTGCCGATGTCGCGCCGTGGCCGGCCACTGCTGTCCTGGCAGCTGGGGTGCAGCGTGCCTGGGGGCAACAGGGCAGTGAGCGCGGCCCACGCCAGCCACATGTGCCCCAGAGCACGCTCCGCAGAGTCCTGGGGAGCTGGGGTCAGCTGGCACGTGAGACCACGCGTGTGCTGTGGCACCTACCGGAGAAGGTCCCTGAGAAGACCCCCGGGGCATGGTTCACAAAGCTCTCGATGACAGCGCCGGGTCTGCGGGAGCGCGGGGTGGGGCTGCCCCCTGGAGTGGACGTGGACGTGGACCCGACCCTGGGGCTGATGCTGCCGCTGGGGGGCGAGGAACAGGCCACCTGTGGACCGGGCAGGGTGTGAGCTAGGCTTCAGGGCCAGGACCCCCACATAGCCCAGGACCCGGATCACCCACGAGCCCAGGGCCAAGCGTCTGCCCTTGGCAGGGGAGGCACGTGGGCCCAGGCCGTGGCCTCCCACAGCCCAGGGAAAAGCTGCCCAGCAGGTTCCCAGACTCACCTCAGGGCAGGCGGCAGGGGCTGCGTGGGATCGGAAGGA